AAGCTGCACCTCTTTGGAACGAGGGGTTTCTTTATTGCCGAGCGCTCGGCACCTGCGGGCGCGTCCGCGGGACTGCACAAACCGGGCGCCGAGGCTTAAAACAAGGCGTGAGGAACAAGCAGCGGTGGCGGCACGGAGGGAGGTGCCGAGCACGGGAGGTTGGCACGGACACGGTCCCCCGGGGAGGACCCGGCGGGGACACCCGGGGGGCCGCGACCCGCGCTCCGGCGGCGCCTCCAGGGCGGGCACCGTGCGCGTCCCCGGGGCTGCCCCGAGCACACGCCGTGTGTCCCCCCAGGGGGGTGTCCCTGTCCCCGCTCCCGCCCCGGGCTCGGACCGGCCCCGTTGCCGTGGCAGCGGCGTCACATCCGTCGGGGCCCGATGATGTAGGGCGGGATCCCCGCGCATCCGGTCGCCCGCACCGCAGCCCGGAGCGGGGCCATGGGCGCCGCCCGCGATGCGGAGCAGCAGCCGGGGCCGCCGGGCGAGGAGGGCCCGGGCGATGCCGAGGAGCAGCTGGTCAGCACGGTGAGGCGGGGGCCGGGCCGGGCCGGGCCGGGGGGCGGCGGGGGGCGGCGGGGCCGCGGCTGACGCGTGTGTCCCGCAGAGCCCCTGGAACATCATGATCAAGCACCGGCAGGTGCAGCGGCGCGGGCGGCGCTCCCAGATGACCACCAGGTACGGCGGGAGCGGAATGGGCGGGCAGGGGAGGCTGGGACAGAGGGACTGGGCCGGGCCGGGCCGGAGGGAGGATCTGGGTTAGACCGGGCCGGGGCAGGGGGATCCCGCGCCCCCCCGTCTGACTCCTCCACCCGCAGCTTCACGGACCCGAGCGTGTCCATGGACCTGCTGCGCGCTGTGCTGCAGCCCAGCATCAACGAGGAGATCCGGGGCGTCTTCAACAAGTACATGAAGGTGAGTGCAGGGCGCAGGTGGGCAGCAGGTGTGTGGGGCACACACCCAGGCTGTGGGAGCTGGGTCCTGTGCCTGTCCCAACACTGCACAGGTTCTCAGCCTCTCCTGCTTTCTCCTCTCCAGTTTTTCCAGACAGCAGCAATCAACGTGCGTGATAATGTTGGGGAGGAGGTGGACCCAGAGCAGCTCATCCAGGAGACCTGTCGGAGCTGCCTGGAGCAGGTGGGTGCTGGCGAGGGGTTCCTTGGGCACCTGATTGAGCAGAGCAGCCTGGCCAGGATGTGTCCCTCTTAACAGCTTTGCTGTCACTGTGAGGGGACATCCTCAGCCCTTGTGTGGCTGCCGTGCTGGGATTCATTCTCACTGGGAAGAGGGGAGTGGTCAGGGCTGGGCAGCTCGTGCTGCCACTTTCACTACTGCTGTCAGAATATGGCACACAGCTGGATCTCCCACAGAGACCAGCCCCTAGCACCTGTTAGAGGGTCCTGGTGGTGTGGGGCAGGATGTTTTCCTTTCACGTCTTGCTTTTCTGCCAGTTGACCAGAGTTATGATGCTCAGATTGTGCTTTTGCATCTGGCTATCTGTGGAAGCATGGCCTGGTGGCAGTCCAAAAGCAGAGCTGGTGCAGGGCTTTCAGGCAGATACATGGAGATGGGGGTTGCTGGTGGGGCCCTCTCTGAGCCCAGAATCCCTGGAACCTTCTTTCTCTTCTTGCAGGCCAAACTGCTGTTCTCTGATGGCAAAAAAGTGGTTCCCAGGTTGCCCCATGAGCAGGCAGGGACAAAGGTAAACTTTGTGATTGTACCCAGAGGCTTAAATGACTTGTGAGAGCTGGGAGGAGGAGAAGGGTTGGAATCCCTTTTATTCTCTACCTCTTGTCCTCCAGCACCATAGTGCAGAGGCAGAGCAGGGGCTGATGGGCTGGGAGGGAACACAGGGCAAGGAGAACCTCAGGTGCAGGTGCTGCTGCTTATGGTGTGGTGCTGCTCACCAGCATGGGCTGGGATCGGTGTTTACCTGCAAAGGAGAGAGGGTCAGCATATACCTGGCCTTTGGGATGCAGGGGGCCCCACACAGCCAGGAGGGGAGAAGGGCCCTGCTCATCCCGCTGCCCTTCCTCTTCCAGCGTGCCCGACAGATGGATGAGGAGCTGAGCCGTCGAGGGAGCCCCATTCCCAAAAAGGTAAGAGGGTTTTCTGCACAAGGGATTTTGTTTTGGCAAGTCTGGTCCTCCTTCCTGGCCATCCCCACCATATGAGTGCATGCAGGTGCACAGGCAGCTTTTGTGAGGCCTGAGAGGTGCTTGTTCTGGTGCCAGGGAGCATTTCTGCCCGTGACAAAAGGAGCAGCTTCCCTGGGATGGGGAGGGTCCCCAAGAGGGTTCCCTGAGCCAGCACAGCTGAGTCACAGAAGGGTTTCTTCCATGCAGAGAAAGGGGCGGCCTCCAGGACAGAGCCTGTCGAACGACCGCGGGGTCTCGGGCATGGCAGCGTGAGTACGGGTCCCGAGCTAGAGCCCCCGTTTGGGGAGGGCAGGGGGAACGAGGCTGCCCAAATGGGGGAGGCACAGAAACCCCACGATCTCCTTCCCTCCTGCAGAGAGGCAGTGGGAGTTCGGGGGGCAGGGAGGGGTCTTAGGTTGATGTGTGCCCCTCCAGAAGGCAAAGACCTTCAAGGAAAAGGTTTTAAAGAGGCCCAAAAGGGTGAAAAGATCCAGATGGACCATTCAGAGTGAGCAGTGAGGCACGGGAGGGGTGGGATCTGGGCAGCTGGGAGAGGAAAATGTGTGTCAAAGCTGAGGGTCCAGAGCTGGGTGCTGTGGGGGAATGCAGGATGTGAACAAGGGTGGATCTGGAAGGGCTGGGGCTCAGTCCCTGCTGCTGGTGGTGACTGTGCTGGTTCTGTAGGGCCTCATTCTTACAGCATTTTCCTTCCCCTCAGGTGGAAGCTCAAAGTCTCTGAGCCTGTGAGAAGGGATGGACCAAAGGTACTGGCTGGCCAACGCTGCTGGGCTCCCCCTCTCCTCCCCTTTGCTCCTGCCTGTGGCTGCAGGAGCACAGGACAATGCAGGCTGTGCTCTGCCCCGATGGGGCCCTGGGGCAGGAGGGGGGGCAGGACGAGGAGCGAAGTGCCCGGAGGCCTTTGCTGGTCTCCCCAGGCACTGTAGCCTGTAGCTGTGCAGTGTGGTGCTGCTGAGGGAGACCTGGGGAGAGTAGGAGTAGCCAGAGGAATCCCACAAGCGTTTCCCACAAGGGAAGCTGCTCAGATCAACCCAGACAGAATGTAACGTCCCTCCCCTGCAGAAGGCTGGAGGTCTGTGGCCAGCTCCTTCCCTCCCAGGCCGGGGGCAGCTCTGAGGTTCCCTGTCAGAGAGCCGAGGCTCATGGAGCGTGGCCGGCACCAGCTTAATTTCTAATGCTGCCCCTTTTCCGATTGCTCTGTAGTGGGATCCATCCCGACTGACTGAAACCACAACCTTTGTGCTGGGATCTCGAGCAAACAAGTAAGGAACGGCCCTGTCGATGGAGGGTGGTGTCCCCAGGCAGGAGCCCGTGACACTCCTCCCGTCACTTCGCTTCTCTGCCTCCAAAGCAGTAGGAAGGGCTCGGGGAGGAGAGGGGTGTCCCCGTGCCACTGCAACCGCCCTCCCCGCAGCCCTGACACCCCTCGTGTTCCTCTTGCAGAGCTCTCGGGATGGGAGGAACAAGAGGGCGACTCTACATCAAGCATCCCCACCTCTTTAAGGTCAGACGCCACAGCCAGATGGTTTCCCATGGGAATTGGAGGCGCGTGCTTTGGCTCGTTTGTTCGCTCCCTCGCCCTTGCCCTCGTTTGTTATCTTGGATCACATTCCCAAGGTCTTGGCTAGCACATGGAACGCGAGCCGACGCGGCAGGTTTTGCTGGAGCCAGGGCTGAGGCTGGAGCAGGGCAGGCAGAGCGGAGTCGAGCGCTCCCCCCGCGGGCAGCGCATGGGGGGCACAGCGTCCCGCAGGAGGGGGGGCCTGAGCCGAGGGTCTGTCGCCCGTGCTCAGCTCGGTCCTCGCTGCTTTATTGCAGTACGCGGCCGACCCGCAGGATAAGCACTGGCTGGCAGAGCAGCAGCACATGAGGGCCACTGGGGGCAAGATGGTGAGTACGGCCGGGCACAGGGCCCGCCGCAGGGCCAGCACGGGCGGAGGAGCCGCAGCACAGGCTGCTGTGGCAGGAGGTTAGGCAGGGCATGGGGGCACAGCTGCCCCCAGGGTCCATCCCCTGCCCTGTGGGGTTCGGGTGCAGGCTTGGGGGGCAGAGCTGGATCCCACAGGGACAGCGCTGGCCAGGGATGGGGGGAGTGATCCTGCCTCAGCTGCCCCTCACAGGCGCCCTGAGCTGTTCCCCACCTTGTGCCACAGGCCTACCTCCTCATCGAAGAGGACATTCGGGATTTGGCTGCCAGTGAGGATTACAGGTGAGGACCAAAGCAGAGATGCTGCCGTGCCTGGGGCTCCTTCCCTGGGGGCCCCCACCGTGCTCCCCCTTCACTGCATGGGAGCCCTGTGCTGGAGGAATCCTGTTCCATGCCAGCTGGGGGGGCTTGGTGCCAAGGGTTGGGGGGCTTGGTGCTGGCTGGGTGTTCGTGGTAGGTTTGGGCATGGTGCTAGTTGTGGTCCATAGCGGGTTTTGGTGGGTCTGGGCTTGGTACTGGTTGGGGTCCATGGTGGGTTTGGGGTCCGCAGTGGGTGCCGGGGTCCCTCTGTCTCAGCCCCTTCCCTCCCAAGGGACTCGGTGGACCTGCGGCTGGAGGAGCTGAAGCCCTTCATCCCGCCGGCCTGGATGACGGAGAAGATGCAGAAACACATGGAGACGCTTCGTCGCGGAGGGGACGCGCCGCCCCCCGAGGATCCCCCCGAACCCTGAGGCCTCGCCCCCCGGGCCCCCCCCCCCCCCCCCCCCAATAAAACCGCTTCGCACCCACCTCGCCGCCTCCTGGGCACCGGGGAGGGGCGGCTGGCCCTTTAAGGGCCGAGGGACTCGTGGCCCCGCCCCTCGCTGGGCAGCGGCCAATCACAGCGCGGTGCGTCGGAGGCCGACGACCAATCAGCGGCCGCTGGCCGTTACCGTGGGAGCCGCATCCCCGGCGGGCGGTGATTGGGCGGCTCGAACGGGGCTGCGCGCTGATTGGCGGGGGGGCCGCACGGGGACACATTCAAACGGGGCGCGGGAGCGGGCAGGGCCGCGCGGGACCATCGTGCCGGGGAGCGACTGGGACGGGGACCGAGCCGCTGCTGCACCGGGGTGTCCGGGATCAGGCCGCCACCGCAACCGGGTAGTGTCCTCGCCACCCTAAGGGAGCCCTAAGCACCCCCGCACCGCACCGGGGAGTTCCGCTAGGAGAGCCCGCACCACTGCGCGGCACCGGGAGAGCCGCAGCGGGGCCCGAGTTCTGCCCCGAGCGCAGGAAGGAGGAACCGGGCAGAGCCTGGTGCGGCGCCGCCCGGGAGGGGGAGCCGCGTCCAGCCCGTGATCCACCGGCGGCGGAGGCGGGTGCGCCGGTCGGTGCCCCCGGAGCCGCCATGGCCTCGCAGAACGCCGACCCCGCCGCCGTGTCCAGCGCAGCCGCTCGCAAAGCGGCCGAAACGGGGGCCACGCCGGCCCGCGGTGCGGTGGGGAAGAGGTGAGCGGGGACGGGAATCGGGGGCTGCGGCCGGGGGATGCCCCGCCGGGCCGGCCGGTAACGTGCTCTTCCCCCTCCGCAGGCTGCAGCAGGAGCTGATGGCGCTGATGGTGAGTGGGGTCGCGGAGGGTCCTGGGGCCGAGTCGGGGTTTGGCGATCCCGGGGCAGGAGGGTCTCGGGCTGTCCCGGCCGCCCTGACGTACTGCCCCGCAGATGTCCGGTGACAAAGGCATTTCCGCCTTCCCCGAGTCCGACAACTTGTTCAAGTGGATTGGGACCATTGACGGCGCCGCCGGCACGGTGAGAGGCGGGATCCAGGGCTGGAGGGGGCCCTGACCCCGCTCCAACCCTCCTCCCTTCAGCTGAGAGTGGTCCCAGTCCTCTGCTCCCCCTGTGCCCCTTTTTCGCCCGAGTTTTCCCCCCCACCCCCTGACTTCTGCCCCCGTGACTCCCACCCGCAGCCCTACGAGGAGCTGCGGTACAAGCTGTCGCTGGAGTTCCCCAGCGGGTACCCCTACACGGCGCCCACCGTGCGGTTCCTGACCCCCTGCTACCACCCCAACGTCGACACCCAGGGCAACATCTGCCTCGACATCCTCAAGGAAAAGTGGTCAGCGCTCTACGACGTCCGCACCATCCTGCTCTCCGTCCAGAGCCTGCTGGCAGGTGGGTCCAACAACTGCACCTGCTGTGGGGTACTGGGGGATGGGGTGATGGTGGGGTTGGGGATCCCCTGCCCAGAGCAGGGCTCCAAGGTGTCCAAGTCACCCCACCAGCTGACCCAGCCCCTGTTTCCAGAGCCGAACATCGAGAGCCCCCTGAACACACACGCAGCCGAGCTCTGGAAGAACCAAGTCGGTGAGTGCTTGGGGCAGAACCTCCCTGCCTGCTCCCCAATGGGGTGGGCAGCAGCACAGCCCCCAACCCTGCTGTGTCCCACTGCCTGTCCAGCCCTGGCAGCTGCCCCCAGGACCCTCATCACCATGTCCCCCCTCTCTCCTCAGCCTACAAGAAGTACGTGAGGGAGACGTACAACAAGCAGGCCAAGGGCCAGGAGACCTGACCATCACCACTGCCCCCCACCATACCCTCCCCTGCCCGCCGCCCCCCGCATTCTGTATCATAGGCTGTTTTTAAATTAATGTCGCAGTCCGAGCCACGGTTAATGTATAAATAAATGCACATTTATGACTTCTGCAGGGGGTTCTGCAAGTGTGGGCAGAGAGGGATACTGACCCCCATCAGGTAACAGGGGCTCTATCAACATTTAGGAGGCCTGGAGTGGTCCCATTCCCTCTGCAGGCTGGGGGCAGCCCCCAGCAATTCCTGCTTGGGCAGGGGGCTGGGGACTGGGGGGGTGCATGGGGGCCCCCGTACCCTGCTCTGTGACAGGGAGGTGCCAGCTTTGCTGCCTCTTGGCCTCCTCTTCAGAGCACCCCACAGCAGTGCCCAGTGCAGGGCCCTGCCCAAGCCCCCCTGGCTGCAGTGCCACCTATCCCTGCTGGCTGTGTGGTCTCCATGGCTTCCACCGTCCATGGCGGAATGTTGGCTCCACTCTCCATCTCTGCCAGTGTGGCCCTCACCTGCTCGATCTCTTCCTCTAAGCCCTGAGGTGCTGGGGGCTGCATGGAAACCCCCCCTCGCCGGCCAGGCAGCCCCCAGCCCCCCAGCCCGGTGCGCAGTGGGGCCACGCCACCCTCTTGCATGGAGAAGAGCTGGCAGAGGTGGTGGGCTCTGTGTAGATCCTGCAGGAAGAGCTCCAGAGCGGAGAGGAAGAGCACCCACAGCCGCTCCAGCTCCCGCTGCTCCGGGGGGCTCGCTGGTGCCTGCCTCACCCCTGCCAGCAACACCCGCCGCAGCCCTGTGGGACAGGGGATGCTAAGCCACAGTGGCCCTGGAGCCCCTCCATGGCCCTGGTGTGGGTCCAGGGGGACTCTGTGCCTGCTGCCCATTGCAGCAGCCCCCTCCTTACCGGTGCTGAGCTCACGGGCCTCCGCACTCCTCCTGCGCCGCTCCTCGCGCAGCCGAGGGCCGTCACTGCTGCCCCCAAGCTGCAGCACCAGCTGCCGGTGTCCAGCTGTGGCCTTGCAGAGGGCAGCCTGTGCTGCTGCACATGTCCTCACTGTCCCCTGCCCACGGCATCCATCCCTTCTGCCTGGTGCCATTGCTCCCCTTGAGAACAGGGCAGAGTCAGGATGCCCGGGGTGGTCCCTGGCCCCCCTGGGGTCTCAGTTTCCCTGTGCCACAGTGCTGGGCAGAAGGGATGTGACCAGCTCTGAGCTGTGTCCTGCCAGCTGCACTGTGCTGGTCCCACGGTCCCACCCACACCAACTGGGGACTGTGTTCCCCTCATTCCACCCCTGCTGTGCTCCACCCCGGTTGGTCCCCAGGGAGCTGTGCTGTCCAGCAGGCTGGCACAGCCTGTTCAGACGCAGAGACTCCACTGTCATCTTGACCTCACAGGGAGGGGGCTGCTGCTGCCCCTCCACCTTATAGGCCAGTCCTCTGGGTGGGAGATGTGGGTCTCAGTGGGGCAGGTAGTGGTGGCTCCCTAGAACCCCTGTGGTCCCACAGCCCTGCCCTGGAGCAGGACCCTTGGGGCTGGGGCTGTGCTCCCTCACTCGCTGGCGTGTGAACCAGCTGCTCCGAATGGAAACTCTGAGCTCAGCTCTGGCACCTGCCCAAGAGCCCGTGGGAACCACAGCCCTGTGCTGCCCCTCTGGCACAGGGCTGCAGTGTGAACATGCCTGGCATAGGGCACCTGCCAGGCATGTTCCCCTCCCTGGGGAGCAGGGCAGGGTCACGGTGCCGCAGCCCCCTCCCCACGCACCCTCAGTGAAGTCCTGCACAAGCAATTCAAGCCTTTCCTCTTTTATTGAGGCTCGAACCAAAGCCACAGGTGACAGATGAAAGGAAAAGCTCAGCCGCCGGCAGTGGGATGAGACCAAGGCCCTGGCACGGAGCAGGATCTCAGCCAGTGCTGGGGGCCAGGTGCTGCAGAGCTGCTGCTCCCTGGGCAGTGGGGGAGCAGGGCTGGGTGCAGCAGCCGGCCCAAGGAATGTCTGGTCCCTTACTGCACACCCTCCATCATCTTCAGGAACTCTGCAAGAGAGGGGCATCCTCAGCCCACGGCCCTGCCCTGGTGCACAGCACAGGCACCCGGCCAGGGCTGCTGCTCACCATCAAAGTCGATGCGGCCGTCGTTGTTCTTGTCTGAGTCCTTCATCATGTCCTCTATGTCCTCGTCGGTGACGGGCTCCCCGGTGGCCCTCAGGATCTCACCCAGCTCCTCAATGTCGATGAACCCATCGGCATTCCTGAAGGAGGGTGAGGGTGGGATGTGACCTTGCTCACCCCTGCAGGCAGGACGGGCCACTTCACCCTCACCACTCACCGGTCGAAGATGCGGAAGCAGTTGGCCAACTCCTCCTCAGACTTGCCCTTGGCGTCCTCTTTCATCTGGCGCACCATCATCACCAAGAACTCCTCAAAGTCGATGGTACCGCTGCCTGCGGGGAGGAAGCCGAGCACAGGTCAGGCTGCCCACCCAGTGCCCAGTGCTCACCCCTGTTACCCACCACCAAGGGCTGCTCACCATCCTCGTCCACCTCCTCGATGATGGCGTCCAACTCTTCTTTGGTGGGGTTCTGGCCCAGCATCCTCATCACTGTCCCCAACTCCTTGGTGCTGATGTCTCCACCGCCATCAGCATCAAACATGTCGAAGGCGGCTTTGAACTCTGTGGAGAGGGAGGTCAGGACCAGGCAGTGGGGCAGAGCTGGGCCCCACGCCATGGCCATGTCCGGCCCCTCTCCCCACTGCCCCCGCGCTCACCCGCAATCATCTCCTCGCTGAGGAAGGCACGGGCTTCTGCCTGCTGGTCCGTCTGCAAGACAAAGGAGAAGGGGTCATCATGGCCACCCACATCAGGCCAGAGACCCCTTGCACAGTGTGGCCCAACAGCACAGGGCTGTGAGGAGAGCCTTGCCCTGCCGCAGAACGATGCTGTGCTGGGGCGAGCCACAGCCCTCAGCAATCCCTAGAGTTACAGTGCCCCCCAGGCATCCATGAGTGTGGGGGGCTGCAGGGAGCCACCTGCCCCGGCCCCCCACCATGTGGGGGGCTCCATGGTGCAGGGGCCACAGTCCCTGTGTGCAGCCTTGGCATCCTAGGCATGCAACGCTATTTTTGGAATCTCCTCAGCTCCCCTTGTAGGGATCATTGGAGCTGGAGCCGTGGCACCTGTCGGCCCCGATCGAGTTTCTGCTGGAGGCGCAGGCTGGCCATGGAGCCGGCGGTGACACCGTGTCGTATGACCCAGCGCTCGGTTTTCAGCCACCCCCTGCCACTGCCACCTCTGCACAGCGCTGAGCTCCGGACAGGGCTGAGTCCCCGGGAACACGGTGCCCCCCAGGCATGTCCTGGGGGGACCTTGCACCTCCCCAAAGCCTTCCTGCCCTCACCGCCACAGTCAGCCCAGCCCTGGGGACTCTCTCCCCGCCGCCCTCTACAGAGGCACCTCCGCAGCCCAGATCCCCTGGAGCCTCCTGCCCGATCAGGTCTCATCCTGGCACGCAGCACAAGGCACACAACACACAGGGGCTCTTACCATTGTGGGAATTTACTGTGCTTCCCAGCCCCAGAGAATCACCAGTTCCTGCAGCAGGAACTCCCAGAAGCACCGTGGTACCCCTGGCACCCCAATTTGTAGTGTCTGCTCTGTGGGCTGTGCCCCCAGCTGCTGCCCCTCAGCCCCCACAGCCTATCAGCACCCTCGCAGCACCTGGCCCCGCTCACTGGCAACTGGCGCCTTTACCTAATTTAGCCAAAGCTTTATTGGCCAAGGGCTGGGATTAACATAGGGCTCAGACTGGGATGGAAATTCAAGCCCTCCAGGAGGGACACTGGAGCTGTGGCAGGAGGGTGGCTCTGCCCACCCCCATAGCACCTCCCGACCAGGGAAACTCAGCAATGAGGGGGTTTAAAATAGCCCTGGAGCTGTCAGCATCACCCAGGCAAGGGGGTCAGGGTCCCCCCTGCACCCGGGGGGCACAGAACATTGCCCACTGTCCCCCAGATCTGCAGCCCTGCTTGGGACAGGCTCTCAGCATGAACCTGGGCTTCTCTGGAGCAGCGTCCCTTCCCTGCATCCCTATTTTCTGCTCTGGGGGCCCAAGGTAGAGCTATGCTGCAGCCCCCTGCCCCCAGCGAGAAAAGGGTCCCCAGTGGGACCTGGGGCACAAAGTCCCTGGAGGGTTTTGGAAAATAAGCCCTGCAGTTTAGTGTCCCCAGTGCCATTGGCACCTGGGTCCGGAAAAGGTTCTGTCTTTCCGTGCTTCAGGGCAGTGGGAATTACGCCCGGTGCCTCTTGGAAGGCTCAGCCCTCACACCTGCAGTCCGTGCCAGCCACTGCTGCCAGGGGCTGGTGGCTCTGAGGACGCACTGGCCAAGTGGCCCGTGCCCTGAGGTGCTCTGGGCCTCAGGGGTGCGGTGGGGTCAGGCTGATGGATCCCTGTCCCGTAAGCTCCCAGTGACAGGGACACACAGGGGTTCTCTGGCTCGTGGTTTTGCCGGGACCCTCATTCCCCAGGTGAGACCTGGGGACTGCAGAAGCCCAGCCCCGCATGCACTGCACCCTGCCCAGGGGAGGGCAGGGGTCTCATCTGACCGGTGGGGTGCAGGGTGCTGGAGCAGCGCGCAGTGGGCAAGCAGGGCAGAGCGATGGCAGCAGCTGGGCTGCTTCCTCGATATTAATAGACATTCCCAAGGAAGTGGTGAGGAGTGAGCGGGCGGACACTAAAAAAGGCCAGGCGAGTGCCGAGGGTGAAGCCTGGCCGCAGGGCGCGTGGCGGGGCTGCCTGGGGCCAGGGCAGTGGGTGCCAGGGTGGCCCGGGAGACGCTCTGCTGGGCTGCAGCCCAGTGGAATCAGGAGCCTGCATCTGGAGTACCAGGATACACGGGTGTTGGGGTACCAGGATGTCAGGATACTGGGGTGCCAGGCTATTGGGGTACCAGGGTATGGAGCATCAAGACCCTGGGGCCCTACAGTGCTGGGCACCTCAGTGCGGGCTCCTGTGGCCCCAGGGCGGGTACCAGGGGCTCGGTCCGACCAGGACATCTCGGACAGGGGACAGCGGTAGCAGCCGGTGCGGCAGCAGTGAGGGGCTGCGGGCAGCGCCGGGCTGAGTCCTGACTCTGACCCGATCGTGCCGAGAGATGCCGGAGTGACCTATCCCGATCCCGATCGTGCCGGACGGTGCCGGGAGGAGCCGATCCCGATCCTGCCGGGCGGTGCCGCAGGGGCCGATCCCGATCCCGGCCGTGCCGGGCGGTGCCGGCTCCGCCGCCCCGATCCGGGTTCCCGACGGAGGCGGAGCCGCGCAGGGAGGATCCCGGGACGAGCCGTGGCGGAGCGGCCATCGCTCGGCACCGCCTGGCTCGGCCCGGTCCGGCCCGGGGCAGGGCGAGCGGAGCGGGGCGGGGGCAGCAGCGGGGGGTGCCCCGGGGCCGGGCTGTCCCCGCTCGGGGCCGTGCCGCGGTGGGCAGCCCCCCGGCCCCGCCGTGTCGGGGAGCCGGCCCGGACCCCCGGGCAGCGATGGCCGCTCGCATCCTGCACCGGCTGCGGCACGCGCTGGCCGGCGAGGGCGGCCGGGAGGAGCCGGCGGGAGGCGGCGGCGAGGCCGAGGACTGCCCGGAGAGCTCGGAGCTGGAGGACGACACCGAGGGGCTGTCGACGCGCCTCAGCGGCACCCTGAGCTTCACCAGCCACGAGGACGAGGAGGAGGAGGAGGAGGACGAGGAGGAGGAGGACGGAGCTAGCGAGGAGCTGGAGGAGCCGCCGCAGGCGCAGGGGGCGGCAGCAGGCGCGGAGGACGGAGGCAAGTGCTGGGGCGGTGAGCTGGGGGGACTGGGGTGACCCCGCTCCCCGGGGCAGCAGCAGCCCGGTGGGGTCCGGCAGCCTGGAGATGTCGGGGGGCTGGCAGAGCCCTGTCCCCACGCTGGGCAATGACACCCCTCTCCCGACACAGAGTGGGGCCCCGCGGCGGAGCGCCCCGGCGGCAGTCTGCTGACCCGGCAGCTGCAGGAGCTGTGGCGGAGGTCGCGGGGCAGCCTGGCACCGCAGCGGCTGCTCTTCGAGGTCACCAGCGCCAGCGTGGTCAGCGAGCGCTCCTCCAAGTACGTGGTGAGTGAGCCCAGCATGGCTGGGCAGGCACAGGGTGGGTGTGGGTTTGGCTCTCCCCCTGGGCAGGGGTCCCACGGGGCTGGCGCTTATTTCTCTCTCTTTCCCCTTGCTGCTTGGATGGTGTTGGCGGCTCAGATGAGCCTCAGGTAACTATCTCTGGTGGGTGCTGTGGCTGTGGCAGCCCAGCCCACTCCCTCCTGCCTGGGCAAACCCCCCCAGCCCTTCTGTGGCCGCACACCCGGCTCTGCCAGCCCCAGGAGCAGCGTGCCCATGGCACTGCCTGACACCTGGCTCCCCCACAGCTCTACACCATCTACCTGATCCGCACCGGCCAGTTTGACAAGGCCCCCGCCACCATTGCCCGGCGCTACTCGGACTTCGAGCAGCTGAACCGCCGCCTGCGCTGCCGCTTCGGCTGCGACATGGCCGGCGTCGCCTTCCCCAGGAAGAGGCTGCGCCGGAACTTCACCGCCGAGACCATTGCCAAGCGGAGCCGAGCCTTCGAGCAGTTCCTGTCCCATTTGCACTCCATCGACGAGATCCGCCGCTCCCCTGAGTTCCTCGAGTTCTTCTTCCTGCCAGACCTGCGGGCCGCGCAGCGCCTCACCTGCACCGGCATGTACCGCGAGGCCCTGGCCACCTGGGCCAACGCCTACCGGCTGCAGGACCGGCTGGGGGTCTGCAGCTCCGGCCGCTTCCTCCTGACGTTGGCCGGGCTGGCCGTGTGCCACCAGGAGCTGGACCAGCTCGGCGAGGCCCACAGCTGCTGTGAGCAGGCGCTGCAGCTGCTGGAGGCCCAGGGCAGCCACCCGCTGCTGGGGCCCTTCCTGCAGGCCCACATCCACCTGGCCTGGAAGGTGGGCAAGGACAAGCGGCGCTCGGAGGCCCGGCTGCAGGACCTGCGGGAGGCTGGGCTGCCCCTGCAGCAGCAGCCCTCCCTGAAGGAGTGCCTGATCAAGGAGCCTCTGGAGTGAAGCAGCCTGTGCCTGAATGGGCAGGAGGGCAGGGGCTGCAGGGGACTCACACCCGTGGCAGCCGGGAGCAGAGCGCTGCTGTGAGTGGGGATGTGGTAGGGGGCAGCGCCACACTCCCATGGCAGCGTGGCCCATGCCTGGAGCTGCCTCCTAAATGCACTTTCTCTGTGGTTAGTCTGTCTGGTGGGACCGGGGGCTCACAGGGGTTCACGGAGGTCCACTGCCCACAGTGACGTTGCTGGAGCCACTCCCCCTCTGTGGGGGATCCTGGAGTGGCTGGGACTTTAGCTGGGACATACTGGCACCGCACAAGGGAACGGGAAGGCTTCTGGCAGGGTTTGGGGCTCTTGCCGGGAACTTCCCATAAAACTTATATAATAAAAAGGACTTTATTAAATAAAGTCTTGGCAGGAAGAAGAGCAAAGTGCCTGCTGTGTCTCTTCCACTCCATGTCCCCAGGGCACCATCAGTGGGAGGCCTCAAGCCTCCACATGGAGGTGGGAGCTGCCCCATCCCATTTCCCTGGCTCCCAGCTGGGCCCAAGCCTGAGCCCAGCCCTGGGGAGGAGCCTAAGGGCAAGCAGAAGCAGCAACTGAGGCACTGGGACACGAGCAGGGCAGGAGAAGCGAGAAAGGGAAGCAACGTGTGCCACAGCAGCACACGTGGCACAGGTTCCCCTCCTGTGACTCAGCCTGCGGCGGGGGCAGAGCTGGTCCCCCCTTACCGCAGTGCTGCCTGCCCTTGGGCAAGCACAGTCACAGATCCAAGGGGACAAACTCCAGGGACAGAGTCCAGCTCTTCACCCAATGACTTTATTTTAAGGTGGGTGAAGGGTGGCTGATGGCAGCATGTGGTTACACGCTGTGCAGCAGCCAGTTGGTCACACTGATGGTCTGTGGGTCACCGTCCGTCACAGACACCTCTGGCACTTGGACTCCCCACTGGGCTGGATCCAGCCCAGTCTCCTTCCTGCTGCTGTCCAGGTCCTGTCTTGATCCCAGGGTCCTTCGCTTGGCATGCTTGAGCCCCAGCTTGTGGGGGCTCCTCAGCTAGAGCTTGCTCTGGTTTGGTCTCTCTTCCACCCTGATGACTCCTTCTTGCGCACAGGTGACAGCCAGGACCCCGTCCCTGCGCCACAGCCGTCCCTGCACCAGGGCCCGGCACCCGCCTGCAGAGAGGAGCTGTCAGAGTGCAGCCACCACCCCCAGGATGGGTAGGGCAGAAGTGAGAAGGGGAAGCAACGTGTGCCAGAGTAGCACCTTCCCCTCCCGTGTCCCAGCCTGCTGCAGGGACAGGCTGGCCTTGGCCTTGTGGGTCCCCAGGGGACACAGCAAGGACTCACCAGCCCAGGGGCTCTCGCACTCATAGAGCATCCAGTGGTCAGCTCGAAAGGGCGCGTGGAACCACATGGAATGGTCGAGGGACACCATGAACTTGATGTGGTACTGCCGGTGCGGGAGCAGGGCCGTGCCCAGGAAGGCGTAGTCAGAGATGTAGGCAGCCACACAGCAGTGCACCTTCATGTCCGTCTCCCCTGCAGAGCAACCAGCACTGCCCGTCCCGTGGGTGCCCATGGGACACGTCTGGGGCACAGAGCTCCACTGCCCCAGGGACAGCTGCTGGCCAAGCACAGCTGAGATTCTTCCAGACCAGCTCCCCTTGCCCCCCAGCACAGCTCAGGGCATCACCTCATGCTCCTCACCCACATGTGCATTTCAGCCTCGAAATGCCCAGGCTTCCCCACAGGCTGGGGTGCAGGCAGCCCCCAAATCACTGCCCTCCCAGCCCATTCTGTCGTGACAGCGCTCCACAGTGTGAGGTGGAGCCCGAGCCCTCGACTCAGGAGGCACCTGGACCACCTTCACAGCAGGACCCACCTATGTAGCCTCGTGCTCGCACCCAGAAGAGCTGCTTTGGCTCCTGTGGCTCTGAGCTGAATATATCTGGTGGGTTCACAGGTTTAATATCAATTGGCACATCTTCGGCTTGGATCTTGTTGAGATGTTTCCTGTATCTCTCAGCCAGGTTAGGATTCCTGCAGCCCAGCATGGAGAAATGAAGTTAATGCCAGGCAGGCAGAGGCATGTCCTGCTAACAGCAGCTCCAGCCCACAGACCCAGGGGCACGCAGAGAGAGGAGGGGCACGGCTCCTGTCCTGTCCTGCCCCTCTGCTCCCCTCCCAGGCATGTTTGGAAACTCCTCAGGCAGCCACCACAATCCTCCTCCGCACCTCCCTCTGTCCCAGCCGCAAAGAGGGGCATCCCAAACGTGCCCCTTCTGCCCCACTCACTGCAGGAACTTCTGGATGAGCTCCTCCTGTGTCAGCAGCTCCTCAGGGGGCGGCACGGTGGGCATGGTGAACTGGTGCTTCACTGGGCTCCCCTGGGACAGCTGGAAGGAGGCCTGGCAGGTGAAGATTGGCTTTCCATGCTGGATGGCCTTCACGGAGCGAACGGAGAAGCTCTTCCCTGTACGAGTCCTCTCCACCTCGTACAGCACCGGCACCTTGGGATCCCCTGGGACAGCACAGCGACATTCTGCCGCCAGGCCACGGAGGGGACCTGCCCTGCAGGGGCCGAGCCCGGCGATGCCACCCACACCCTCCCTGCCGGGATGGGGCCGGGATGGGGCGCCTGCTCACCCTGCGGGCTCCCCCAGCCTCGGAGCCACCGCCCGGCCCCGGCGCCCCCCGAGCCGCGGATCCGCACCTGTCCGCACGAAGTAGCAGTGCAGCGAGTGCACCTGCTCGTCGCGGCTCACGGCGCGGGCGGCCGCCACCAGGGCCTGCCCCACGATCTGCCCGCCGAAGAGGCGCTGCGTGGCGGGCACCCAGTGGTGCCGGCCCCTGCGGGGAGAAGGCGGTGGTGACGGTGAGCGGCGGCGGCAGCGTGTGGGGAGGCCGCCGCGGTCCCGCCGGCCCGGCGCCCCCGCGCAGCGCACCTGAAAAGGTCGAGCTCCAGCCGCTCCAAGTTCAGCACGCTGGTGATCAGCACGCTGCGCAGGTCCCCGGGAGGCGGCGGCGGCCGCCCCGGCCCCGCGCCGGCCCCGCCGGTGCCGCCAGGAGCCTCCATCGCCTCCGACAGCGGCGGCCCCGACGGCGGCAACTTCCGCCCGCCCGTGCGGTGCGCACCGCCAGATGATTGGATGGCAGAGCTGTCAGTCAGCAGGGCGGGGGCATCATGCTCTGTGCTGGTTGGCTCGCCTCCTGTCAATCCGGAGAGAACGGCGCTGACTGGCCACGATCAGGGCGTGGGCGGTGCCCCAGGGTTTAGCGGCGGCGGATGGTCCGGAGGGAACGAGGGGGTTTCTCCGCGGAACTGGGTGTCCGCTTCCGCAGCTTCCGGGACTTCAGGGAGCGCTTCCGCGCCTACAAGCTGGAGAATGTGCACTGGGTGAGCCAGAACTGCTGGAGCTGCACCTGCTGCTGCCACCGCCGCTACCAACTGCCCTGCCGGCGCGTCCTGGCCGTGCTGCCGGAGCATGGGGGGCGTGTGGAGGGAGCTGTGCTGTGCAGGCGCTGGCAGCGGCGGTACCGGCACCCCTCATCCCCCTGGGGGCAGCTCCCCGGGCCGTGCTGGGGGTTCGGCGGGCAGCGGGCCCGAGAGCAGGGAGGAGAGAGTCCAGTCGCTCAGCCTCGAGCTGACCAGCCTGCTGCTGCAGAGCAACGGGGAGCAGCTGAAGGAGCGCAGCTCCGCGCTGGCGGCCACCTGGGCTCGGTCACCGGGGGAGGCAGCCGGGCAGGAACCGGTGCCGGAGGGCCGGACACACGGAGGAGCGGTGCGCTCCCGGTGCGATGCGCGGCGGCCGCTCTGGGCGGCGCCCGAGCGCTCCGGTCCCGCCGCGGCGGGCGGGGTCGAGTCCTACCGCGGTGATGACGCTCCGCGCGGTGACTGGCGGAGTGGGACACGGGCCGGGGCGCGCCGCGATGTCCCTACCGGTAGCGGCGGCCCCGGCGGGGCCCGCACTGCCGGCCCAAGCCGCGCTGGTGATGGCGCAGCCCCCGCCCTGTTCCACCTCTGCAAGCGGCTGCAGCAGCTGGGCTTGGAGCACCACACCGAGTGCCTGGCCTTGGCGGCCACCAGGAAAGCCGTAGGTGCGGGCATCGAGATCCAGCGGTGGGAGCTGTTCGCCTTCCCGAGGGACCTCGTCACGCCGAACTTGCTGCCTCAGCTCCACCTTCACTGGCTGCTCGATGACGGGATCTGGGCTGCGCACAGGGAGGGCAGCTGAGGGGAGAGCAGCGGCTACTTCATGCAGCTGGAGGTTGTCATCCTGGGGTTAAGCCAGGTTTTCAGTAGTGGGTTCTCTCTGGAGAGATGCATCACCACCTTGGCCCAGCACTATGAAGAGTGTGTTTCTAAGAGCCATCCTGATGCTGTGATGGGCCCTGCTCCCCATCCTGATCACTGTGCTGCTCAGGCAGCTCCCCAAAGCTTGCCTCTTGCCCCTCTGGTGTGCCAGGGTGACACATCCCAGAGCTCCAGCCAGGCTTCCCCTGCTGTGGCAGCAGCTCAGCAGCAGCTCTTGTCAGCCTCTCTTGCAGCTGTCAGGAGTCCTGTGACTGTTCTCCAGAGTCTACCAGCAGTTCCCTAGCTCCTTGAGGCTCTTCAGTGTCAGCCTGAAACGTCCCAGTTTCTCCTCCAGGGTGAACCCACAACCCCTCAGTCCTTGTTATATCCTTCGTCTCCTACAGTAAAACTGGGGGCCACAGAAACCCCAGAGGATGACAGCGGGGAGGAGATTAACCAACAGTCTTTGAGTGACAATTGCACAGAGCCTGCTGCCAGTCTGTGCCTGAGTGAGCTGGCTGTGGTTCAGAAGTCCACCCAGCTCATTGGCACCAGGAAGGACGCACTCAGTGTACAGATCCTGGAGGATGCCCACAGGGTGGACCTGAAAGGCCTGAACAGCTGCACTTGCCACTTCAGCCAGGCCTTCCAGCTGCCCTGCTGGCACATCTTGGCTGTGCTGGATTCAAACAGGAGGCCCTTGCAGCCAGAGATGCTCAGCAGACTGTGGGAGAGGGGATGCCCATCAGGCCGGGCAAGACAGTGCTGATGGCCTCTTGGAGGTCCTGAAGAGCTTCTGGAACAAATCTTTGTATAAATCCCAGGTGATGTCCTTCCTTATGGCAGAGATCAGAGGTGAAGCTCTAGCACTGAGCAGGAGCTGAGCTGGGTGCTCTTGCCGTGTCCTGGCTTTCACCTTCATTCCCCTCAGGCTGCCACTTCCTTGGCATGGAAGGGGCAGTTTGGGTCCTTGATCTGCTGAGTGGGCATCACCTCTTTCACAGGGCAGCAGAGGAACTGGATTGGGAGCTCCTGATCCTGTGGGAAGGGTTACAGCTGCTGACCTGGCTAACAGCTGTGGCTGGGAGCCAGCTGTGGGTGGTGTGGCGCGGGAGGTACTGGTATAATAGAATCACAGAATATGCTGAGTTGGAAGGGACCCATCAGGATCATTGAGTCCAACTCCTGGCCCTGCACAGGACACCCCAAGAGTCACACCATGTGCCTGACACCATTGTCCAAATGCTTCTTGAACTCAGACAGGCTTGCTACTGTGACCACTTCCCTGGGGAGCCTGTTCCAGTGCTCAACAACCCTCTGGGTGAAAAGCCTTTTGCTGATATACAACCTAAACCTCCCCTGACTCAGCTCCATGTTGTTTCCTTGAGCCTTGTCACTGGTCATGAGAGTGAAGAGATCTGTGCTTGCCCCTCCGCTTCCCCTCATGAGAATGTTGAAGACCACAATGAGGTCTCCCCTCAATCCCCACTTCTCCAGGCTGAACAAACCAAGTTCCCTCAGCGGCTTCTCATAAGGCTTCCCCTCCAGACCCTTCACCATCCTTGTGGCCCTCCTTTGGATGCTCTCTAATAGCTTAGTGTCTTTTTTTATATTGTGGTGCCCAAAACTGCACACAGGACTCGAGATGAGGCCGCACCAGTGAAGATTGGAGCAGGACAAGTAGAGCAGGACAGTCACCTCCTTTGAGTGGCTGGCAATGCTTTGCCTTATGCACCCCAGGACACGGTTGGCCCTCCTGTCTGCCAGGGCACTGTTGACTCATATTCAAGTTGCCATCAACCAGGACCCCCAGGTCCTTTCCCAGAGCGCTGCTCTCCAGCCTCTTGTTTCCCAGTCTGTGCACACAACCAGGGTTGCCCCATCCCAGGTGCAGAATCCAGCACTTGCCCTTGTTAAACTTCACATGGTTGGTGACTGCCCATCTCTCATTTGTCAAGGTCTCCCTGCAGGGCTTCCCTGCCCTGGAGGGAGTCAACAGCTCCCCCCAGTTCAGTGTCACTGGCAAATGTACTTAGTATTCCTTCCAGTCCAAGGCATTAATGAAGATGTTGAAGAGAACTGGGCCAAGGATGGAGCCCTGCAGAACCCCACTAGTGACCAGATACCAACCTGATGTCAATCACTACAAGTGTTTACGCCTGACCTGTGAACAAGTTGCTCACCCATTGCATAATATGGTTATCCAGCTGTGGGCTGGACATCTTGTCCAGAAGAATCCTGTGAGAGACAGTATCAAAAGCTTTGCTGATGTCCAAAAAGACTACGTCTGCTGGCTTTCCTAGGTGAACTAGGTGAGTTACCCTGTTGTTGAAGGGAATCAGGTTCAACAAGCAGGACTTCCCCCTCCTGAATCCATGCTGGCTGTGACCAGTGTCAAAAACACCTTGTGCTCCAGGTATTTTTTGATACCTCCCAGAAAAATCTTTTCTATGATTTTACCAGGTACTGAAGTGAGGCTGACAGGCCTGTAGTTTCTGGGGTCCTCCTTCTTTCCCTTCTTAAAAATCGGGACAATGTTCACCAGCTTCCAGTCTGCTGAGACCTCTCCAGATTTCCAGGACTGCTCAAAAATCATCGAGAGAGGCTTTGCAATGACATCAGCTAGTTCTTTGAGGATTCTCAGATGAATCCCATCAGGCCCCATAATAACACGTGACAAAATTATTTCATCTGTGGCCAGCGCCCACAGGTCCTTGCACCATCCAGCTGTGGCGTGTTGTGCAACAGAGCCAATTAATCAGCCTTGTGCTGTTTGGGAGCTGTGTCTGTCCCTGCGCCAGCTGCAGATGCCCCTCCCTGGCCAGTGGTTGGGGTGCCAGGCATCGGGCAGTGCTGCTTGGTGGTCGTGTGCCACCGCAGTGCCCCGGGTGGTGGGAAGTGGCAGTTCCTGAGGGTGGCAAATCCCACTGCGCTGCAGCCCCACTTTGGAGAAGGGGAGTGGTTTATCTGGTTTCAGCAGCTGCTCTCAATTCCTCAAGAAAGAGGAACTCACCCCCGTGTGCAGGGGTCACTGCCGGGCAGATAACGCCGGGGGAGCTGGGGAGCAAAGGCTACACTCACGCACGGCTGGGGGAGGGAAAACAGCCCGGAGAGCAAACGCCTGGCCCACGGCTGCTGCTCTGGGTGGGTGAGCTCCCCGGCCCTCTTGCAGCCAGGGCAGCTCCAGCAGCTCCCAGCCTGTTGGTGGGACATGGCAGGGAATGTCAGAGACCTCGCTCCCGTTGCATGGTTTGGTCACGATCCATGTTTTCCCTGATCAGCGCTCCCGTCATTAACGCTTTGGTGTTGATGGAGTCGGCCGTCACTGCGGGCTGGGGATTTCCTTTGAGACAGAGTTTTGTAACATGATCTGATACTATCGAGTCTCTGACTAAATATAGCATCGTGTTTCCTAAAACACCTTTCTGTAAGCTTGGAGCTGCTTGTTTCTCCCCTTGGCCGTGCTGTGGAAGAGGCCTGGAAGCCCCCTCACCATCTCTCTGGCACCTCTGGGTACCCCTCTGGTTTTTAGAGGGCTCTTCCCCACCCTGCCTGTTGCTCTGCACAACTCCTACCCTGCCTCCCCTCTCCAGCCCAGGCACTGCTGGATCCTGGCTGCCATCCCCACCAGCCAGTGGATGAGGGGGGTCTAGCTGAGGGCACAGAGCCAAGGAATGCTGGGCTCCACTCCCATGCAGGAAGGCAGGATGGCTGGGCCCTGTACAGGGTCACCGTGACTGGCTCTGTGGCCACTGGCTCTGTGGCCACAGGCACGTGCCCAAGCAATGGCTGCTGCCAGCGCTGCTCTCTGGGTGCTCCGGCGTCCGCCCCCGTCCCCCTCCTAGCTGAGCACACAGGAAATAACTCATCGCTCTCAGGGTAAACATATTTCCCAAGAGTGAAACTGCCCAGCCAGGATGAGCGTCTGGCTGTAATTTACCTCCACGTGAGTGCCCTCCCACGCTCCACCCACCCCAGCACTCACTCTGATCCACCAAGGCAATCCCAGCATCATTCCAGAGCTACGGGCAGGTCCTGAGCCCCATAGGGCTGTGTGTGGCCTGTGCTCCTTTCCTTGCTGCAGGGGGAACTGCTCCCACAAGTGGCTGCTGAAGCACGGGAGGTCTCAGCCCCCCAAGCCTCCTTTGACAGACTCTTGTCTGGAAGTGCTTTATTGCTTTCTCTGAACCACATCAGCTCCCTGCCCACACTCTGGCCCTTCAGCACCGTCCCTGTGTGGAAAATCCCAACACAACGCTGCCTGTTCTCATGTTGGCCCTTTGGCAGCATGTACCGGGGCGAGGGGGCAACAAAGGGCATGCATCCTACCAGGCAGCCATCACTGGGGGCCTGTTGGCAGTGGGGGCAGCCCAGCAGTGCCCTCAACACCTCACTCATGTTGGCAGAAGTTCTTGAGCAGTTGGGGCAGGTCCAGGCCCTCGATAGCCAGGCGGTGCACGATGTGCTTCTGGATGACCAGCCGGCACAGCGTCTGCAGGGAGGGAACTGGAAGAGAACAGAGAGAGCAGCTGAGCTGGGTGAGTCAGTGGTGAGGCTGAGCACAGAGGGGTGTAGGAGCTGGCCTGGGGCTCCTTAGAGGTACTGGAGTTAAGGGCAGTGGTGGGGTGACTTTGTTCTGCAGCATCATCCTGCCCCGGGCTCGAGCCAGCTGTGCAGGAACCTGGTGCCAGGCTGCTCCCCCAGGGCTGGGAGCTTAAGGGCCCCAGGCAGCAAAGCTCTTCCCATTAATAGGAGGAAGGCTGGGAAACAGTTATGCTCCCAAGCTGTGCATGACCGTGGCTTGTTTGCATTTCTTTCTCTGGCGGCTCTTAAGCAGCTCCCCAGGGTTTCACGTGCCCACACTGCACTTCCCTTAAATCCCACTCCCTTGGTCTGCTTCCACTGGCACCAGCACCAGGCTGGCAGGTGGGTACCCACTGGCCAGGGCTGTGCTGCCTGCAGAGACAGTGCCCACCATGCCTTTGGGACAGACCACCGTCAGCCATTCCCATGGCTGCTTGCCCAGGCTCTGCCTGGCTCCTGCTCCTGTGACACAACACCCTGTGGGATTCCTCCTCCCAGAGCCTCAGGTGGCTCCGCAGCACAGGTGCCATCCACTGTGGTCAACACTCAGGTGTTAACCCATGGAGAATCCCAGCCTCAGGACAGAAGCAGCTGCCCTTGGCACCAAAGAGGGAAGCAGTGGCTCCCTGTGGTGGGAGCAGCTGGTACCCTGGTGCTTGCTCTCCTTCTTGCTCAGTCTCACCTGATCCTCAGCATCTGCTGATTTTTCCAGCGCTAATTAGCCCTCGTTAGCCTGGCCCCTCCCATCCAGCCAAGGGACGCAGGATAATACTCAGGCTCTGCCTGGCATCACGGGGTTTCTGCCCAGGGAATGCCGTGTCCTGGGCACGCGGCAGATGCGGGGGTGCAGTGTGTCATACTGGGGTGGGCGGCAGGCGTAGGTGGGTGTTTTGGTGCCAGGGCAGGACGTTGGTTGACTCCGGCTGCCGTGTGGTGTGGGTGAGGCTGGGCACGGTGAAGCTTCACAGCCCTGGGGCAGCCCCAAACACCCACCCCCATTGCCTGACTCAGGAAGGGTGGCCAGCAGGGCTGCTGCAGGGAATGTCTCCCCTTGGCTCCAGCGCAGCCCCCGTGGCAGAGATTTCAGCAGACACTGCCCATCAGCGGCACTGTGGGTCTCACCTGTGCTCCACAGGAGCCACGGGCTCTCCTGTGCCCTGCACCCCATGTCCCTCTGACCAGAGTCATGCTCTGACATTCCCACTGTTGGGGACTGTGGGGTCACCCCACCAAAGCCCCCCCGCTCCTGGCCAACACAGCACGTGCCACAGGGATGGGGGCAGGTACCTACAGCCATAATCCACTGGGATAACCCGGACGCTCTTGGTGGAGGCGAAGACATCAACGACAGCGTAGAGCGGGCGGGCGGTGGGCAGGCCCCTGGCGCTCGGCCCCATGTCCTCGCCGTTGATGATGATGTGCATGTCGGCGGTGCCGTCGGGCTGCGGTGCGTACAGCACCCCAATGCGGCTGCGCCGGGCGGTCGCGGGCAGCACGTTCATCTTGTACAGGTCGTCCAGGATGTGGCTGTAGCGGCCGGGCCGGCTGCGCCCCACCAGGGTGTCGCGGGGGATCCGCACCCGCTCGATCAGCAGGAAGGGCTCCCAGGGCGGGCCCCGCTCCCGCGCCTCCTCCCCATCCACCACCACACGGTTGTGGCTCCGGGTGATGGCGAACACCCAGGTGTCCCCCAGGTTGACCAGGTCCGGCAGCGAGTACTCAGGCACCACCTCCAGGCTCTGTGGGTCGTGGGCCGTCAGCCCCACGCGCAGGTGCCCGCACCAGCCCAGCTCCTTCTCCTCAATCTCCACCAGGAAGATCTGCCCGGGCGCCAGTGGCTCCTGGCTGAAGCAGAGCCCGTTGGCGAAGCTCTCCACCCGCGTGGCCAGTGTGCGCGAGGCGTCCAGGCGGACATTGGTGCCGTGGACGTGGTGGAAGCGTGCAGCGAGCCGGCACCGGGCAGCCATTGCCACCGATGCTATTTTTAGCTGTCCTTGTCACAGCTGCTGTGAGGTGGTGACAGCCTGTCCTGGAGGGACAACCAGAGGGCTCAGGGAGATCCTAGTGCTGCAGGGGAAGGAGTGAGGGGACCCTGCGGTTGCTGGGCCACAACCAGGCCCAATCCAGACACACAGAGACTTCACACAGTGCCTGCCCGGTGCTGCCACCTGGGCCGGGGAGCCTGGCTGTGCCTGTGATGGCCGGCAGGGACTGGTGGTGCTGGTTGTACATGGCTGTACCCAGTGATGCCTGGCAGTGCCTGGTGGTGCTGGCTGTACCCAGTGATGCCTGGTGGTGCCCAACGGTACCAGCTATACCCAGCAGTGCTCGGTGGTGCTGGCTGTACACAGCTTTGACTGGCAGTGCCTGGTGATGCCCGGCTGTACCCGGCAGTGCTGGGTGGCGCCCAGCTGTGTCCAGTGGTACCCAGCGGTACTGGCCATACCCAGCAGTGCCCGGTACCCAGCGGTGCTGGGTGACACCCGGCTGTAACCAGTGGTGCCTGGCTGTGTCCACCCCGCCGCCGGCTGTTCCCGTTGTAGTGCGGGGGCTCCACCGCTCCCCCCCCCACCTCGCAATCCCCCGGTCCCGGTCCCGGGGCCGGTCCGGGGCCGCTCCCACGTGCGCGGGCGGGGGCGGGGCGGGTCCGGCCGCCCCCGGGGCGCTGATTGGCCGCCGCCGGGTCCCGCCCCGATCACGTGGGCGCCGGAGGTCATATGGGCGCGTGTCATGTGCCCGGCGGGAGCGGAGTCTGCGAGCGCCGCGCCGGGAGCGGCCGCGGTCAGCGGGCACGGGGGGGAGCGGGGCACACGGCACGGGGGGGGCCGCCACCGGCGCCAGGGGAGCGGGCCGGGCAGGGGGGGTCAGCCCCGCATGGGGGTCAGGCTCGGGGCAGCCGTGCCGGGGCGCTCGCGGGGCGCCGCCGCCGCGGCCGTTCGTGGCCGGCAGCGCCCTGACCGCGCCTCCCGCCCGCCGCAGATGGGGCCGCTGCTGCTGTGGTCGTCGCTGCTGTTGCTGCTGGGGCTGGGCTGGGCCGCCCCTCCGGAACACGAGGTGACGTACCTGGCCGGGCTGCCCAAGCAGCCCTCCTTCCGCCACTTCTCGGGCTACCTCTGCGCCGGGCCGGGCAAGCACCTGCACTACTGGTACGTGGGGCTGTGCCTGGCGCTGGGAGGGGGTCGGCCGGCACTGGGC